CATTATCCCTACTTGAGTTTTTATCAATTTCATTATTAAACATTATTTTAAAATTTTCCACAGACGTGAATTTTTATTAAAAATTTGTATAATTTGTACAATAATTTTAATCTTTATTCGTATTTATAAATATTCTAATTTTTAATTTATTATTATTTTTATGAGAATCTATAAAAAATATTTTCATTTAAAAATGACATATATTTATTTTACGTAATGAAACATAACCATGCAAGAAGCAAGGGCATATATACTTACATCACATTAATATTGTTGGAACGGTACTTAAGCCTTTTGTGGCTATGCGAGGAAACGGTCCAGCTTTTTTTTATAGGAAATATTTAGTTTTTAAAAATAAATAAAGGAAAAAATAAATAAAAATCGGAGTCGCTATCGACCTTTGGGTTAAGTTCACAGACTGACTTCAACATTTTATTGTTTAAGTTCAAAGCATTGTCAGAGACGATTCTCTCTAGTAAGCCATACTGATATATGATCTCTTTTTTTAAGAAGTTGCAGACTGTTGATTGAGTGACATTTGCATAGGAAGCCGCTTCTACCCATTTATTGAAGTAATCTATTGCCACTAAGATGAAACGATGACCATTAAAGCCTTAGGTGAAATTTGTCCAATGACAACCATGCCCCACATAGAAAACGACCATGGGGCTATCATCACGTGCAACGGGTGATGAAAGGTATGAATCTTATCTCCAAAAATCTAGCACCTGTGACATTTTCTAGTGTAATTGATGCAACCAGTTTCCATTGTTGACCAGAGATATTCAACCAGTTTGGGATCTTTTGTTTTCTACTCACCCCTGAGTTGATAGATCACTAGAGTTGAATCCCTGTATACTTTGAGTGTCTTTACCTTGAGCTCAATGGCAGCTCTGAGACCCAAAACACAAGCTTCATACTTAACCATGTTGTTTGTGCAATCGAAATTCAGTCGGCTGATGAAAGGATAATGTTCTTCACTAGGTGAGACCATAATTGCCCCAATTCCATGCCCCAAGGCATTTGAAGCACCTTCGAAGTTCAACTTCCAATGTTCACTGCTGGAAGTAATCATTTCTTCTACCGAAATAACCATTAAGTCTTCATCTGGGAAGTTGAAACTCAGTGGCTCATATTCTTCAGAAGCCCTGGTTGTGATAAAATCTACTATAACACTCCACCTAACTGCTTTCTGGCTAACATATTGGATGTCAAACTCTAATAATAAAATCTACCAATGAGCCAACCTTCCGGATAGAGAAAATACACCCATCATATATTTCAAGGGATCATGTTTGGAAATCAACCAAGTGGTGTGATACAACATATACTACCTAAGCCTTCGAGTAGCCCAAATCAAAGCACATCAACACTTCTCGATCGGTTAGTACTTTGCTTCATAATCAATAAACATTTTGCTGAGGTAGTAAATTGCTTTCTCTTTCCTCGCAATTTGATCATGCTGCCCTAATACACACCCCTTGAGTTCTCAAAGATTGATAAATAGATGACTAAGGGTTTGCCTGAGATAGGTGGTACTAAGACTAGGGTATTTGACAAGTATTGCTTGATTGCTTCAAAAGCTTCTCGACAATCATCACTCCACACTCCTGAGTTGTTTTTGCAGAGAAGGAGAAAAATGGGGTCGCTCGATCAATTGTGAGATAAACCGAGTGATGTAATTTAATCTCCCCAGAAATCCTCGAACTTCTTTATGTGTATGTGAGGGTGGAAAGTTTTGAATGGATTTGGCTTTGTCTGGATATATTTTAATTCCCTTTCTGCTCGCTACAAAGCCCAAGAGCTTCCCAGATGTTACCCCGAAGGTACATTTACTTGGATTGAGTTTCAGTTGGCATTTTCTTAGTCTCTGAAAGAGTTTTCTCAAATTCTCAACATGTTCTTCCTCTGTTTTGGCCTTGAAAATCATATCATAGACATAAACTTCTATTTATTTATGAATCATGTCGTGAAATAATGTTACTATGTCTCTTTGGTATGTTGCCCCTGCATTCTTTAGCCCAAACGACATCACATTGTAGCAAAATGTCCCACCCATGGTGACAAACATAGTATTCTCCATATCTTCAGGGTGCATCTTTATTTGATTGTAGCCAGAGAACCCATACATGAATGAAAATAGGGAATTTCCAGTAGTATTGTCCATTAAGGTGTCTATATGCGACAAAGGGAAATTATCCTTCGGACTGGCTCTATTGAGATCTATGTAGTCAATGCACATACGAACATTCCCATCCTTACTTGGTAATGGGACGATATTTTCCACCCACTCATGATATTTGGCTACTTTGAGGAATCCAGAATCGAATTGCTTCTTTACTTCTTCTTTAATTTTTAACAGCATCTCGGGTTTCATCATTCTAAGCTTTTGTTCCACATGTCTACATTCCGATTTTATTGACAACTTGTGTACCACCAATTTTGTGTCCAAACCAGGCATGTCTTCATAGGACCAAGAAAATACATCTTTATACTTTCGGATAGGGATGTAAAACGGGTACAATTTAGTGGATTCCACACCGTACCACTCCAATTGGGGCGGGGATGGGTATAGCTTTAGTGGGTAGTGGGTGGGTATGGATTTAGAAAGTGGTACCCATCATGGGTAGTGGGCAGGTGATGGGGTTGAGACCTTACCCGCCCCGCATCCGCCCCACATCCGCCCACCCACTAAATATCCATTAAATTTTGGACCATTATATATTTAGGTATAATTTTAGAGACTAATTTATAAATCTTAATATTGTATAAGATATAACTTATAATTTAACAAAACATTAGGGATAAGTTTATGATTCTATTTTTTTCTTTCAAACCTCTTGTGCTTTGCTTTGCGCCGATATTCAGATAGTTCTTCTTCTCTAAGTTTCAAACTCTGGTCTTCATCTCATTCAGGTATGCCTTTTTCTTCTTCTTTAATCTTTACTCTGGTCTCCTCTGTGGGTAGTAGAATTGTATGTCACATTATACACAGATCCAAAACCACCTTCCCCAATCTTGTTTGCTGTATCGAAGTTGTTTGTGGCCGCTTTAATTTATTGTAAAATGAATACTCCGGTTTTTAGATCTAATCCTCTTAGTTTTGTTTTGGTATTCTTTTTCTGGATTGGGATGATGCGTCAAAAGAGAGATGGCTTACGGGTCCACCCGGGACAGGGCTGGTTAGGCCGTGTTAGGGATTGAACGATTCATCATAAAAATCAAGCAAATCTTCCCCTATCTAAGGCCATCACTATCGTTTTACTTCAACATCTTACTTTTTTTTGCTATTTTAATTTCGCAACGTACAACTACATGGAAAAGGAGGAATAAATATTTTGTTTATTGTATTTCTTTGAGTGATTTTCGTGTGTACACTCTTATTTGGTATATGCGGTACACGTGTGTCCGAGTGTTGTTTTAGCGAGAAATGCATATGAGCCATGGATGGCATATGCCGGGTGGGAAGAAAATATCTGCTGCTTCTATATTTTTTGAGAGTTTTCCTTATGAGGTGGATGTTATTTGTGTTGACAAATAATTGCTGCCTTTTGTTTATCATTTTGTTCTATAGACCAAATAAAGTGGTTTTTTTATTGGAATTCAGAACTCAATAATGATATGAAACCTGTGAAAAGTAGAAGATAATTTATCTATTGCATTACCACATTCGATATGTAATCTTGATTTTCTCAAATTTGATTTTGGGACTGTGTTTTAAATCTTCACATCATCGACTTTGTTTAGTGTTATTGTACACTTATGACTTGCTACGACTTACCAAATAGTAGTTACCAACCTGATGTTGGTTCTGGTGCATTACATTTAAGATGGATTTTCCAATTTCTCATTTTTATTTTCTTGTCTTGATTAGGGTTTCTTTTTAGTTGAACTAAGTAATTTCAAAATTAAATGTGTATTTCACCTACTCTATGCTCATTCTACTATGCTATGCACATGCAATGTTCTGTTTGTTTTATAATCTTAAAAATCAAAATCAATATACAAATGCTCTTAGATTCAACATAATATTAAAATCAAAATGACAACCGTAGAGCAATAATTTATGTGTTTCTTCTTGTTGTTTCGAATTTACTTACTTTGATGCATGTATTAATGTGCTTAATATGTGGTTTATGTATCTTATATAATATGTTTTATTGTAATTTTAATTACAGAATACATAATGGCAGACAAAAGTGAACAACACAATACTACAACCACCTCATTACCATCAATCTCAAAGCCAACCACTACAGCAAGTTCTACCCCAACTTCTGAATGTGGTGACAAAAGTCAAAAGCAAACTGATAATGCAGATCCTATGGTCATTCCCTTAACTTCGAGGCATTCATCAACAACTTGGAGTCACTTTACAAGAAAACGAGTTGGGAAGGAAATAAAAGCTGAATGTAACTACTGCAATAAACAACTTACTGGAGGACCAAGAGCGGGGACAAGTCACTTAACTGAGCATGCAAATAAATGTGTCAAAAAATGCTTTGCATATTTGACAAACAAGGCTATTTGGAACACAAGCTAAAGATGGTGGTTCGAATGACACTCTTTCTTTGACACCATATGAATTCCACCAAGATAAAGGGAGAAAAGACTTGGCAGAAATGATCATTTTGCATGAATACCCTCTTACCATTGCTGAGCATTATGACTTTAAGAAGTACTCCAATACACTTCAACCAGGCTTTAAAGTTTCGTGTCGTAATACAACCAAGAAAGATATCATGCAAAGATATGAGACTGAAAAAGAGGGCATAAGCGCATTGTTGAGCAAAATGAATAGTAGGATCGCCTTGACCACTGACATGTGGACCTCAAGCAATTAAAGAAAGGGATATTTGGCTGTCACCGCAAACTTTATTGACAATGGATGGAAACTCCAAAGTCGAACACTTAGGTAATATTATTTTAGAAGTTTTTCCTTGATGAAGTTTCACTTTCCTTTATTTCATGTGTTAATGCATGTCACATTAATATGATAGGTTTTTGTATGTCCCGACACCTCACACGACTGTGGTTCTTGCTGAACATTTGAAAGAATGCATCCACTCCTGGAATATTGATATCAAGTTATCTTCTATAACTGTGGATAATTGCACAACTAATGATGCTATGATTGATATTTTGCACCAAGAATTTCCTTATGGCTCGCTAATGTTGCATGGACGTTTTCTTCATATGCTTTGTTGTGCTCATATACTTAATTTGATTGTTCAAGATGGGTTGAGTGCTGTGATAAAAATTGGTCTTGACAGAATTAGGGATAGTGTTGGCTTTTGGATTGCTTCAGATAAAAGAAATAAAAAATTTGAAGAAGTAGCTAAGCAATTGGTTCTTGAATGTACAAAAAAGTTACTACTTGATTGCAAGACTATGTGGAATTCGACTTATGACATGCTTATGGTTGCTTTAAATTATAAGGAGGTATTTGTTATCTTGAGTGGTCGTGAAAGTTTGTTTAAGAATCTGACACTTAATGAAGATTGGGAAAAGGTAGAGAAAATTTGTGATTTATTGGAAGTATTTAACGATATTACACTTGTATTTTCTGCCTCAAAATATTCCACGTCAAATAATTATTTTCCATGTATTTGTGGGCTTAGAATAGCAATGTCAAATTGGCTTTCATTTCATTGTGATTATATAAGAAAGATGGTGCTAGTAATGTTGGAGAAGTACAACAAGTATTGGGCTGATGTTAATGGTCTTATGGACGTGGCCACTATACTTGATCCGAGGTTCAAGCTAAAATTGATTCGTTTCTATTTTGAAAAAAATTATGACGAGTTTATTGTTCAAGCTGAGATTGATAGAATTGAAGGTCTTCTACATGAATTGGTGGATGATTATGGATATAAAAATGGTAAGAACCAAGTTTGCTGAAGGTTTTCAATACCAAGGGTAAATGAACAATGTTGAACGAGTTTACTGAATTTATAGAGCAAATAATGATGCAATTTTAGAAAAATATGATTTGGACAGGTACTTAGAAACAACCAATATACCACTTGTTGATGATTTTGATATTCTTAACTGGTGGAAAAAAATGGCAATAGTTATCCAACTCTCCAACAAATATCAAAGGATATTTTGAGCATTCATGTCTCCACTGTCCCATCAGAATCTGCATTCAGTACAGGTGGAAGAGTAATTGGTCCTTATCATAGTCGACTACTTCCGGAGATGATTGAAGCATTAATGTGTGCTCAGAATTGGCTTTGGGCCGATATTAAAGGTAATATTATTAGTTAGTCTATGTTAGTTGTCAAATTGTGCTTATATTAAAGTTTATTTACTAACTTATATTAGTTTTGCCTTCTATTATATATGTAGGTAGTAGTGAATTTAAATTGGAGAGCTCTTAAATGGAGGAAATAGAGAATGATGATTGTAATACTGGAGTATCAGATGTCACAAGTATTGCCTGAAATTTGAGAATGTCCTGCCAAAGAACAAAAAAATTATGTGTTTGTCATTTATGTTTCTAGGCTTTAATTATGACTTTTATTATGGTGTTTTATGTACATTAAGATATATATTAACACTTAACTCATATAATCCTTGGTTTATTTTTGTATGCTTCTTAATGGACGTGTTTGTTTTATGTTTGTTGCTTATGTATAACTTAAGTTTGCTGTCAGACGGGTCTAGCCGGGTATGTCTCCAGTTGGGTAGTGGGTGTGGGGATGGATTTGAGAATGTACCCATGCGGGCAGGTGTGGATTTGAAAATTCTTACCCATCATGGGTGGTGGGCGGGTGGTGGATTGAAAAATTTTAGGTGGGTATGGGGATGGGGGAAGGGGTATCCACACCCGACCTGCCCATTTGCCATCCCTACTCTCAGAGCAGTTCAATCAAACTCTGTCGTCCCTCAGTAGATAAGGTGGTGCTAATTTTTACTCATTTACTATTTTCATATGATTCTAGGTTCAAAATTTCAGTAGGCTCTTCATGAGATAGAATTTGCTTATCATCTTTTCCACCATTTTTAGCAGTTCAAAAGGTAAGTCATATTCCTCATCATTATCACAACCCTCGATTTCCCCCTGATATATAGGCAGCTAGAAATCAATCTCAGGGTCAGTGTCATCAGCAATCATGTTATTGATATTTGACATCCTGAAAGAGTAACGAACAAGAAGATATATATATATACACACACACACACACACACACACAAACACACATACAAAAGAATCTATCCTATATCAAGACAAATAGAAGAAAATAATAATATAAATAATAAGAAATGCATGGAAGAATGTTTACCACTTTGTAAATTAACAGAAATACATCTTTCATTAAAAGGTTAAAAACAGATAGGTTAACCCTTTACATAAGATCACCTACTGCCTCGGGTTTAGACAGTAGGGAAAGTTTTCGTGCATTACTCTAAAACAAATTTGTAAAACACAACCAATTCTTCGATAGTTCAATTGTTCAACACAAAGCCTGACGGAATGGGATAAATGCCTACATCTATTCTGTAACACCCATATACATACATGTTTCGATATACGAATACAAATGTTACATTACTTTAAAAAATGTTTACTCATTTTGAAAAGAACCTTTAAAATTTTGTTGCAAATTTAATACCCCATAAATAAACATAATAAATAAGTATTCATTATCAAATATTACAAAATATTTTGTTATATTTTATTACATGCCAAACAAGTTTCCAAAATGATTTTTATTGTCCTAATGTTACTGGTGAGTCAACCTTAGTGGAAGATATTTGCTGCTGTTGCTGTACTCCTTACTGGATTATTCTCTACTGTTACCTACACGTGGAAATACACACGTTAAGTATATCTTCGTGAGTCATAATATAGTAACTAAACCCTTATGTAACCATAAGTATTTTATTCACAATTATCATAATCATTTGTCATGATTCTTTCTTTTCTTTTGTACCTCCATTCATGTTTATAATGCACCATTAGTTTTGCTTGTCTCAGGAGTTTGGTTCCGATCTATTCAATCATCCATTAAAACATGTGTCATACTCAATGTTAGAATATTTCCTAAGCATTGTAATTAAACCATATTCAAAAGAATATATTATTAACTTTCTATATCATTATCAGCCTATTTTTAACATTTTTGGCTCCAAAGTATAGATACTACTACCATAGTACCAATACTTCTATAATAGGGTACCGATACCCCTTCCTAGTATCGATACCTAAATTAGGTTCTATGTTTCATGGTATCGATAACCTCTTCAATGGTATCGATATTGTCTCAATAGTATCGATACTGATTGAATCACTATCGATACTATCCAGTAATTTCATCCATTTTTTAGCCTATAGTATCGATATTGTTCTATCAGTAACGATACCCTTACCCATATTTTCCAGTTTTTCACCCGATTTTTAGCCAAATAGGGCCAAATTTATTTATATTAACACCAAAAAATGCTATACAACACTTCTCTACCTATCCATACAAATTTTCCTTCATCTTATTTTATAGAACATCTAATATCTACCAATAACATTAAGTTATAAGAATCACACCAGTTTTCTAATGTTTTTATAAACCTTATCCAATGCTTCTAATCTCTCATTTACCTCTATGACAAGTCAAATCTACCATAAAACATCCATAAACACTCCTAGATTAACATATCCTTTCAAAACCCATTTTATAATATCACTATTATTTTCCTTATCTCTTCATTTTAATCTCATCTAATCATTTCTTATGCACATATATTACTCAATATTACCAAAGTTACCCATAATTTAAAGAAAACACTAAATAATGAGAATTTACCTTATGCTAGGGAGGAGAGAATACCCACGTGAAGAAGAAGAAGAAGAAGAAGTGTAATGAAATTGCTTTTATCTTCCTATTTCTTCTTATCTATTTTTAATTAACTTTCCTTTAAAGACTAAAATACCCTATTAACTTATCTATTTATACAAATTAGTCTAAACACTAATCCAAATCCTTTTTCTCAACTTTTACCACTTATTCAATTTAAATCTTAAATTTTCCAATATTTCCAATATAGACCCTGGTATGATATTTGGGATATTACATATTCATTCCTTTGATTCATCACCCAGTATGCCATTAATGCCTAGGTGTCCTAGGGAATTCTTAACGATCGACTTCTTTTCTTGCTGACTCTATTAAAACATATTTCCTCCAGACATAAATGTGTTATACAATGGCGAGAAGGTCATCGACTCCCAGCTGAGGTCTTCTCCAGCTAACCTCATTTTTTTCCTCTCATGGCTTTTCTTGATGCCTTTTAATTTCTCTCTCAGAGTCGGTTGATATCTTAGACCAAAGCGATCTATCTTGGTAGTGGGGTAAATAGGGTTAACAGTTCCCTATAAATGGTTTCTCATCCCTTTTCTAACCTTAGCCCTTCTTCCTGAAGTCATCTTTAATCCCATTCGGGTGTAGTTAGACAACCTAGGCTTAGATATCATTCTCCCTTCAGCCAAGAATGTTGCATTGACAAATTCTAGAGATCTGGAGGAGCATTCAATGGCATCCTTATATACCTCTACATAAGGAGTAGTAGTGGACACAAAAGAAATAATGTCCTCTTCGACATTGATACATATCAGCCTCCATTTGATCACAAACTTAAGCTTCTGATGCAGCGTGGATGACACTGCCCCTGCCTGATGGATCCACGACCTTCCTAATAGGCAATTGTAGGTAGGCATGATGTCTATGACAAGGAACTTGACCTCATAGGTGGATGGGCCAATACTTAGGGGATGTCAATCTTTTCTAGTACTTCTCTCTTTGTTCCATCAAATGCTCGAATGACACTATGGCAGTTTATCATATGTGTACTCTCGATGGGTAACTTCTTCAGGGTTACTAATGGCATTACATTCAGTGCAGAGCTATTGTCAACTAGAACTCAGGATAAAACATGTCCCTTACATCTAATAGTGAAGTTGTCTTCTTGGATATTCGTAACCAACCTATCTAGCTTGTTCACAGGTATATCCTTAGGCTCAGAAGTGTGATTCAAAACCTTCAACAGGGCATCTTGATATACCTCGGTACTCAATAGAAGGGCGAGGACTAAGATGCGATCAGGTAACATGTGCAGTAGTTCAACAATGCTCTATTCACTGTGTTTCAAGAACTCCACATCACCTTTCTCAGTCATAGGTTCGTTAATGATTGACTCATCCTTTTTCAGCAATAAGTTAACCTTCTTCTCTTTATCGGCGGTAGTTATTTTCTCAGGCTCTTTAGGCTGATCCAGAGTGTAACACATCCCACTTCTGGTAAAATAGCCCACTTCACTTACTTATTCTTCAGCAATCTATGATGCTTTCACATTATCTATTTTACACTCATATCTCAAAGGGACTCATTTTTTGTCCTTATAAGAGAATGGAGATGGGGTGTGATCATCACCTTAGGGGTTACTTTCTCTGTCGGATGTGTTTTTAGTGTGACAACTAGAGGACAACTAGCATTGTAGATCCCCTAGATGAACCTTCAGATGCATAAATCTCTCATTATTCTCTTTCATCGGCTTCTTGGTAAACCTCCATTTCTTTATCATCCATCATTATTTGTATTAGAGTTCGGAACTCAGGACAATGTTGTAGAGTATGTTCATCATAATTGTGATATTGTCATACACCCTCATTCTTAATTCGTTCAGTTGCTAGGTTAGGGACCAATAGGTCTGTCTAGATCATTTGACCCCACACCCATCGCATTAGGGATTTCACATCACTAACATTTTTCATAATCTTCTTCCTTTTTTTCCTCAACAATGGCATTGACTCCTGAACCTGCATGGCTTGTCAGTGGATTCTGAGCCATGTTCGGTTGCTCACTATCACAAAAGTTTATGACATTCTTTTGCCTCAATCTCTA